ATCATCTTATTATAGGTGGTTCTTAGCACTTCATAGAATCATAATCACAGAATGGCCTGGGTTGAAAAGGAGCACAGTGCTCATCCAGTTCCAACCCCCTGCTGTGTGCAGGTCACCAACCAGCAGCCCAGGCTGCCCAGAGCCACATCCAGCCTGGCCTTGAATGCCTGCAGGGCTGGGGCATCCACAGCCTCCTTGGGCAACCTGTGCCAGTGCCTCACCACCCCCTGGGGGAAAAACTTACTCCTAATATCCAACCTAAACCTCCCCTGTCTCAGTTTAAAACCATTCCCCTTGTCTCATCACTGTCCACCCTCACAAACAGCCATTTCCCCTCCTGTTTATCCGCTCCCTTCAAGCACTGGAAGGCCACAATGAGGTCTCCTTGCAGCCTTCTCTTCTCCAAGCTAAACAAGCCCAGTTCTCTCAACCTTTCTTCACTGTACTGCACTTGGTCTTATTGAACCTCATTAGGTTTTCATGTGACCGGCCTGCACCCTTACACTGAACCATTGATCACAACCCTTTTGCTGTGTCCAGCCAGCCATTCCTAATCCATCCAACAGTCCATCCTTCAAATCCACACCTCTCCAATTTAGAGAGCAGGATGTGGTGAGGAACCATGTCAAAGGCCCTGCAGAAGTCCAGGTAGATGACATCCATTGCCCTTCCCCCATCCCCCATCCATCACTCCATCACAGAAGGCCACCAGGTTGATCAGGCAACATCTGCCCTTGATGAAGCCATGCTGGCTGTCTCCAATCACCTCTTTGTCTCGTATGTGCCTTAACAAAGCTTCATGGAGGATCTGATCCATGATCTTCCCAGGCACAGAGGTGAGGCTCACCAGCCTGTAGTTCCCTGAGTTTTCCTTTCTCCTTTTCTTAAAAATGGGAGTAACGTTTCCCTTTTTTCCAGTCACTGGGGACTTCACCAGACAGCCATGATTTTTCAAATATGATGGAGAGCGGCTCAGCAACCGCATCAGCCATCTCTCTCAGAACTGTAGGAGGTCTGAAACAGAATAGAAGTTCCCACTTCATAACTCACAGGCTGAGAGCTGGGGTGGTGCAGCCTGGAAAAGAGAAGGCTCTGGAGAGACCTGAGAATGGCTTTTTAGTTTCTAAAAGGAGGCTGTAAGAAAGAAGAGACAGACTCTTCAGCAAGGTCTGTTGGAATAGGACACAAGGAAATGGTTTCAAACTAAAGGAGGGTAGATTTAGATTGGATATAAGGAGAAGTTCTTTACAGTAAGGGCAGTGAGACACTGGCACAGGTTGCCCAGGGATGTGGTGGATGCCCTGTCCCTGGAGACATTCAAAGTCAGGCTGAACAGGGCTCTGAGCACCTGATGGAGCTGTTGGTGTCCCTGTGCATTGCAGGGGAGTTGGACAAAATGACCTTTAAAGGTCCCTTCCTCAAATGATTCTATGATTCCTCTTGAACAACGTGAGCTTGTACTGAAGCAAAATAGCAAAATTTTAAACAAACTGGCCTCCAAAAACATTAATCCAGTATACCCATTTTGCAATGCAAATCTGGTAGATTGTTGCCTGAACTGTGGTTTTGCTGCAAGTCTGATGTGTGGTGCAGATTTCTTAGTGCAGCAAAGGAAAGGTAGGCATGGCTGGTCTTAAAATCTTTGCTTACAACACTTCTAAAGTAAAGCATTGGACCCAGTGGTTCCTAGGTGCATTTGGCACAGAAGTATAACTACAGAAACTTTTCAGCAAAATTCACTCATTTTATGTTTCTTCTAACATTGTTCTGAAGTTGATCATATATTGCAGCTTTACTAATGATATTTAATGGAATCATAGGATCGTGGAATCCTTAGAGCTGAAAGAGACCTTTAAAGGCCACGTAGTCCAACTCCCCAGCACTGCACAGGGGCACCACAGCTGGATCAGGTTGCCCAGGGCCTGATCAGCCTGGCCTTGAAAGTCTCCAGGGACGGAGCATCCACCACATCTCTGGGTGTATTTGATTGTGTGGCGTATTTAGCCTTACAATACAAAATTCCTTTCTATGCTCTGTGTCATTTTTTATTACTTGTGCTCTGAAATCTTTGTATTTAGCTCAGAACTAAAGGCTTTAAACTGTTGATTTCTGAAAGAAAAGAAAATGAACAAACAAAACCTCCTCTAAATCAACATATTTGTTCACAAGCCAGCAACAAAAAAAACATTACCCAGGAGACCTGCCTTTTTCGGATTCATATCCTTGCTTTGTTCTGAGTGCCAGTCCTGCTAACACCCTTTCATTTCTTTTGATTAGTTCCTCTTTCCTTCTTCTGTTTCACATGCTATTTGTGCTTTTCATCTGTCCCTCATCTCTGCTTGAATCTCCTATGCCTCCTCAAGTTTATCTTCCCAAGGCACCTGCCATCCAGTTGGTAGCATTTTAGGGAAGAACATCTTCCAGTAATATAACAGCAGACCAGGTTCTTACATGCCCAATAATGGTGTAAATCAGGCATCCCAACCCATGAACAGGATACACCAGGAGCTGTATTCTTTTACAGCTAGGATTTTACTTCTGCTAGCCCACTTATGCTGGAAGGAATAATTCAAGAGTAAGGCATGACACAAGCAATGGTCAGGTCTCCACCTCGTTTAGTAAGGGAAACACTGTAAATCCCCCTACTAGTTGTTTTGGACTTTCACAGAGAGATCAGCACCCTTTTGTGTCCATCTCGCTGATGCTTTGGTGAGCTGAGGTGCCTGAATCCCAAGTGAAATGGAATCTGCAGCTGGCAGTTGGCTGGGTATTTAATGTGACTGGCTGGGCAGTCTTAATTTTGCATCTGCATTAATGGTTGTGTGTGGACATCATTAGACATCTGAAATTATGGGCATTGGTAATACTGCTGTTGACCTCCTAGAAAGAAGACTCACAAATACCACGTGGTTTTGAAAATCTCACTGAAGTGTTGCACAGTGGTTGTGCTTCTCTGAAGCCTTAAGGATTAAGGATGCAAAGAGCTCTACTAACAGCTGTGCTCAGGCTGCTAGCACACCTTTGGTGCCTTTGCTGCCAAAGCCACACTGAGAATGACACAGGAGTGGTGTTAAGTGGTGCACCCTGATGACAAGAGACAGGATGTACTTTTAAAAGTGCTCCCATTATAATTGAAGCTTTATAGTGAGTATGTCTAAGGCAAAGTTAGAAGAGCACACCACTAGCACTGAAGAAAAGGTATGTGAGGAATATAGGAAGTTGAATGAATACAGTGACTGAAACTGAGACAAACAAAATGGTTGCCCTCCATGCTCCATAGAAAATGAAATTCTCTTACTAGCCCAAACTGTTTATATGCAATATGAGCATCTTTGAAAAATCTATTTATGACCATTGTCAATGGCATCTATTCAGTCCACTGTCTAACTGTTCACCTCGTAATTTCTCTTTATACTTCTATTAACTGGAGCTTTGGGATTCACAGTTTATTCTAATTCATTCATGATGACAGTAAGCCAAAGTCTCGTGTCAGTACTTGTGAGATGTATATATATGCTATATGTGGTATGTACAGTGTATGTATTAAAAAATATCTATTTACTGAGAGATGATTTTTGTGATGATCTGTTCTGAGCATTGGTATCAACAAAGACTTCAGAACAGCGTACGTCAGTAAAAATAAAACAACATATAGTTTTTATAGTTTGTCCAAATTCTATTAATAATTTCCTGGCTTCCAACATATTCCTTTAGTCTTTTTAGGTGAGGGTTTAAAGAAAAAAATGTTACTCTGCATTTTTAGTGAAGCATATCTGTTTGTTTCTGAGATGGCTGTTTGTGATTCTATTGAAGTTCATGCTATCTCAGAAACGTTTACCAGAGTTGAAGAAATGCTTTCTTTTGCAATGCTGTTTGTGGATGTTGAAGGAGAAAGTGTAGACTCAGGTCATACCATGATATCAATAGGTAAAATCCATATTAGAGTCCAAGGGAATTTTGCTGTTTCTGCCAGGATTGAATTGGGTACTTGACAGAGTTGGGTTTCTCAGTTGTGTAGACAAATGCAATAGCAGAAGACTGTCAAGGAACGTACAGAAACATTGTCAGTGAGTAACAAGACTGCGAAACTTCTCCTGTTCAGATCACACTACTCTAAAGTCATCAGGAAAATTATATAAGAAAGCAAACATTGACTATACCAAAGTGACTGCTCTAATTCCAGTTTCATCTAGCATACAATTAATGAATACACAGATGTTATAGTATCGTAGAGAGCTTGGCTACGTAGTTGTTACACCAAAGCAGGGAACAGAAAAGGTAGGCACACTCACCCATCTCCTGGGCTCGCATGGGAAACATAAGGTGCAGAAAAGCACTGCTTTAATGTACCCACAGAGAAGAGAAAAAACTATAGGTGAAAATACAAGGGACTCAGAGGAAAGGAACTGATGTCCTGGAAAGCATCAGAGACCAAAAAATCGCCTCACTGAGGAGAGCCCCAGGAAGCACAAACACATAAAATCCTCAAATACGCCTTTTTTTTTTTTCTTTTCCCTCTCTTTGATCCATATTTCAGAAGTTCAGAGAATTAAGTTACATTTCTCCTTCCCCTGTACTGCATTTGTAGAAGTGCAATTACAATACAGATGGGAAGTGGAGGGTCCACTGAGGGCAGGTGACCTAATTTATGGCCTTATATCCTAAGTCTCACCAGAATGTCCAAGCTAGCTCACAATTACTAATTATTAGAAAGATTGGAAGGGAGGCCAGAAATCTTCTTACTGGACCAAGTGATACACCTGTGGGGAAAAGTAAAAGATCTGTCATAAATAAGACCTAGAAGTTGTTTTTGAACACAAATTTTGGACCAACAGAAGATGCACATCCTCCTCCACATGTGGCCATGTGTATGGGAACTGTTGAGTCATGGTCTGAACCACTGATTGAGCAGCTGGGGAAAGGACCCAGTCAGCCCTGGGAGCGCAGGTGAAGGCAATGCAGCTGCGAGACAGGAAGGGGTGCAGCCTCTCTTAGACCTCATTGAAGGGCTGACTGCCACTGGAAATTCCTCTTTGGTGAAGCTTTTCCCTGTGAAAATGGAATCTTCTGTTACAGGTGAGCAATCTTCTGCCCTTCCTTTATAGTACCTTTCTATCTTGTCAGTTCTTTGTCGTCACACCCTTGTTGTAATGCCTTTCCCACTGTACTGATCTGTCCAATTGCTACACTGTGTTTGTTGCCTTATGATTCTTCCTAATTACTATTAATAGATGAGCAGCAGTTCTGATTTATATATATTTTTTCATATATTAACATGGAGGTCTTTTAGTAGATTTGACTTTCAGAGGGTGATTGTCTGAAAATTTTAGGAAATAACGTGCTAAACTCTGGTTGGCAGCATTTAGAATCAATGGGATCATGATGTCACATCAGTGTGGAGCTGGCCCACACACAAATTTGGGGGAGAATTCATAGAATCATAGAATGGCTTGGGTTGGAAAGAAGCTCAGGGATCATCAAGTTCCAAGTGTGAGTGAGGGAGCTGTTGTGAAGCAAGCAGCTACATCATTTAAATAAATGGTTATCTGGAGGGAGAAGGTGATGTATGCTTTTTAATGAAAAAAGAAAGCTCCAAGTAAACGCTCAAACAAATGGTGAGATCTTTAGACTGACAGTGAATAATAGACCAGCTAGAAAAGCAATTGTGTGCTTCCATTCTTAAGAAAATCACTTCTTCTGGCAACCAACCATCCCAACCAGAGACTGGAGTCTTATTATAGAAGGAAATGAGTTGTTCTGCTGACTTCACACACACAGTGAGCTGGTTGCAGTTTCTACAGCAAAGTTAATGTAAAAGAAGTAGCAAACTTCTGCAAATGAGATTTGTTAATATGCCTCACAGCATTCAGCTACAGTAATAGTGACAAAATGCACACCGTGTGCAGAGGATGGGAATAGATTTAAACATCCTAAATTTGACTCTCAGATTAAATGTCCTAGTGTTAGAAAAATATTACCTGAGAGGACGCAATACATTAGCTATCAAAATAAACTAGCGACCAGACCAATGGGTGCAACGTGCACAGGCAGATGATCTGCGTACTGAAATTTATCAGGATACCACAGTGCTGTTTTTAATCTTGTGTGAAGTGACTGCACTGTGTGATGTCAGATGATTTGGGATCTTGCTGCCTGCAAGATCAAGGGAAGGCTCTGCATTATTCAGCTATTGTCATCCTCCCTTCTTTTTCCAAAGGAAATACATATTTCAGGTGCAGTAAGAAACAGTAAGTAGGTAACCTTCAGATTTCCTTTTCTGAGATCCTATTTCAGGATATTCTGTAATTTTGTAATCAGACGAGTGAAGGGCAGCCCACCTGCTGAATAAGTAACAGAAGACTACTCAATAAAAAAGCACCAGTAATTAATGCTAGAGTTGCACAGGGTTTGGGGCTAGTTAGTGGCCTGATGTAAATGAGTACAGCCATAATGGTACCCTCATTTACACCCACGTTAAATGTCATTTAAAGCTATTTACAGCAGCATAAGCATTAATTTCTATAATTTCTCCCATCAGAGAAGAGATTCTTTTCTATTTTGTAATGTATAAGTGGTGGTTTAAGCATTTGCTAGGAGAAAATGTCAGATCAGCATTTCTGGCTAGAAACTGTTAAAGGTAACTGCATTTTTCATGATAAAATGTTGTATGTGTTATATTAAATGTATTGAGCAATGGCATAATTAAAAATATACCAGGGATTTCCAGGGTGGGGGAAAAAACAAACAAACAAACAAACAAAAAACCCAAAAAAAACCACCTGCCTATTCTGAAGACTTCAGTATAGCTGTAAAAGCTGATTATACATTGGAGTTTGAGTGTAAAGATCTTGGAGAATGGGCTCTTTAGCACACATAAAAGGTATCTCTGTATAATGGCTTATAAACAGCTTCACTCAAAATCTAACAGTATTGAAGGGAGATGACAAAGAACTACTCAGAAATGCATTTAACTGATAAGCTGCATGCTCCTAATAACTGAACTTCAAGTATTGCAGCGAAGCAGGTGAAAAGAGTCTGAAGCAAAGAGTCCTGGCCGTAGGAAATCCTGCCCTTTCAGGATAGTTTCTAGAGACAGTGAGGTTTTTTAGGCTTCGTTCTATACTGATAGCATCAGCCCTTCAGCATCCACAAGGAGCACTGGCTATCTGTCTCCTGGTGCTGGGAACTGCAGGAACAGGGCCATGTAATAGAGGTTCCTGGGCAGCAGATCCCATCAGCCAGACTGATTTTCAAAGGAACACCAGTCAGTTTAGGTTCTGGATGGGAGCCTGCACCCAGTGCCAGCTGCACAGATGCATGACCAAGCAGACAGTGATGCTGAGTGTCTTTCTATGCCTGCAGAGAGATTGAATCTATGCTTGCTGTGCTGGATCTAAAAGCAAAGGTGTCTGTGCTGCTGCTGCTGCAAGCTCATGTCTGGACATGGTCTTGGTTAGGCACTGCCAGAGAGGTGATAAAATCTGCTGGGAGAACTGCTTCATCATTCCCACACAGCCTGAGGGCAACACAATTAAACTGCATCCAAACCAAGGCTAAGGAGCCACCACAAAACTTCATGAGTTTTGTTTTTCCTGCCTTGAGCTTTCACCAATTCAGGGACCTATGCACTTCATTCTATCTCAAGCAGAAAAGTACTACACAGCCACAGATCATACATTGTGGGTGCTCTCGCTTCTTTGCACTCCCAAGACTTAGAGGTGCATCAGAACTTGGTACGGGATGTTTAAGAAAGAGTAGCTATTGGCAATGCAGGTAAAACTTTGGTGTGTGGGAGAGTAAGCATCTTATACAGTGACTTATACAGAAGAGATGTCACAGCTTGCATGCAACAATTACAGCTGACTTTGACTAAAACAAGAAGCATCAATTACTTGGTACAGGATAGTCCTGTCTGGACCTTGATATGAGAAAAACAAAACAAAACAAACCCTACCTGGATCCTGTAATAAATGCTAGAGCTTGTAAGCAATATATGGCAGTCTCAACCATAAATGGTTGTTCAGAAGGGCTCTCTCTCAGATAAAGAAAAGACAGCACTTAAATGGATGGGGAGTGTGAGGGGGTGGGAGGGCGGAACTATTTAGAGACTGAGGTTGTGTGAGAAGAATGTTTTGTAAAGGTACAGGGAAGGAAGATTACTGTTTTTAGATTCAAGGTTTTTCATAGCTCTGCAGTGAATGCCTATTGCAGGGTGTTGGAACTAGATGATCTCAAAGGTCCCTTCCAATCTAAGCCATTCTATGATTCTGCGAATTAGAAATAAGTGTATATTTGAGAATTTGGTGTATTTGAGTTATCAAAAAGATGAGGGGGAGAGCTGTCTAATGAATAGTGTCTTCGTGGAGAGGGAAACCACAAAATAAAGATTTTATTAAACCAGTGAAGAAGGACATAACGAAAATATATTGCTGCAAGCTAACAGTAGACAAATTTAAATTAGAAATTGAGCGTGTGTTTTTAGCAAGTTGGGAAAGTTCACCACTGAGAAACACTGCTAAAAATCATATAATCTTATCATAGAAAGGCCTGGGTTGGAAGAGACCTTAAAGATCCTCTATTTCTACATTCGGTTCATGTGGGTCCACATCTCAAGGCTGTCCAGGTACCTCTAAATGGTGTCCTTGCTGTTGTGTCAGCTGTACCACTCAGCTTAGTGTCATCAGCATTGAGGGCACACTCAATCCAGTGTCTATGTCACTGATAAAACAGACCCCTGGTGGACACCAGTTGTGACCAGCCTCCACCTCGATATAGAGCCACTGACTACAGCAACCCTCTGGCTGGGACCATCCAACCAATTCTTTATTCACCTAATAATCCAGCCCTCAAATCCATATTTCTCCAACTTAGAGATAAGAATGGGATGCGGGCTCAAGTCAAAAGCCTTGCACAAGTCCAGGTAGATGACATCAGTTGCCTTTCCTCAGTTCACTGATACCGTTGCTCCATCATAGGAAGCCACCAGATTGGTCAGACACGATTTGCCCTTGGAGAAGCCATGCTGGCTGTCTTGAATCACCTCCTCATCTCACATGTGGCTTAACATAGCTTCCAGTAGGATGTGCTTCATGATTCTCCAAGCAGAGAAGTGAGGCTTATTGGTCTGCAGCTCTGAGGATCTCCCCTTCTGAAAAATGGGAGTGATGTTTCCCTTTCTCCAGTCACCAGGGACTTTATCTGACAGCCACAGCTTTTCAGATAAGATGCAGAGTGGCTTGACAACCACATCAGCCAGTTCCTTCAGAACACTGGGATACACACCGTCTGGCCCCATAGGCTTGTACACATTCAGCCTCAAGAGGCAGATCAGACTTGCTCTGCTCTAACACTGGGAGGGATTTCACTCCCCTGGCCCCTGCCTAGAAGTTAAGAGGCACAATAGGCACCAGAAGCTTGACTGGCAGTGAAGTCCAAGAACAAAGATCTTGTTGAGTGCCTCAGCTTTCTCCATGCCTGAAGAAGCCAATTCTCCCTTCTCATTTATCAGAGGGAGTACACTCTCCTTTACCTGCCTCTTATGACCAATTTTCTAAAAAATCCCGTTTTGTTATTTTTCACAGCCCTCTCTAAGTTCAATTCCATCTGCATTTTGTCTTTCCTGATCCCACCTTGTATCCATGTCCAGACACATCTGGACAACATCTCTATATTCTTCCCAATCCACCCATTGCTGCTTGCACTACCTATACTTTCCCTTCTTTTTCCTCAGTTTGACCAGCAGTTCTTTGCCCAGCCATACCAGTTCCTTGCTTCCTCTGCTTGATTTTTTTTTTTTTATGCTGGGTCATGAAGAGCTCTTGCACTCTCAGAAAAGTGTCCTTGAGGAGTTGCCAGCTCTATTTCACTGCTATGTCTCTAAAGACAGCTTCTCAGGGGATCTCCTGAGTAATTCCTTAAAGAGCTGAAAGTTTGTTCTCCTGAAGTTCTTGAATCCACTCTTTGCTAGACCCAGGTTCCTTGAGATACTGCACTCAACCAGGATGTGCTTAATACATCCTAGGCTGCCTCCAGTCTTAACTTCTTTAATGATTTCTTTGCATTGGTGAGCACCAGGT